CCAGCCATTCCCCTGGGCCTTGGGGGGCCTGTCTCTTCCTCAGGATGGGAAGGAGAGTAATCAGGGCTCAAAGTGGGCCAGATCAGGACGGTAGCACTCTGCACGTGTGTTAGTGACCACACAGGGTGTAAGCAATGGAGATTCGGGCCCAGCCTGTCCAATGAGATGCCAGCCACCTCCTGTTCCACTGGCCCCCTGCTGTCCGGCGTTTACACTAGCTCAGGTGGCATGTGGTTTGCTACTTGACTGTGTCATTTCTGCGCTGCTGCTGCACACAGGAGTGCATCAGCCAGTGGCAGCAGCTGCTCCCACATCAGAACGAAACTGTGAATGAGAGCAAACAGGGCCAGCAAATAAAGCACTCAGCTCCCTCGGGGACGCTGGCACACTCACTTTTGTATGCCCAGGGCTCCTCAAGGGACACTGCCCAGCCTGCCTGCTTTCTCACTTCAGCAACCTGGACTCTAAATAGATTCAGTAAGCAGACCTGGGTTCTGGGCTGCAGTCTAAGTGCTCCATCCTTGCTCTGCTTGGCTGCACGAGGACCTGTTGAGGCTTCATTTCCCAGTCCAGATGCTCTCCATGGTGCTGGTGAATGGACTGGGCTGTGAGAACAGCTCTGGTGGTAGCAGGAGCAAACCCACCGGGGGTTAAGAGCTGATGAAAAGTTAGCCCCAGCCAGGTCCTGTAGTCAGTGAGTGCCAAGCTTGGCCGATTCTCTTAGGAACTCTAGGCCTTGTTAGCACTGAACTGTGCCTGCACCTTCATTCGCAGGGTGTAAGCTGGGAGGTATGCATGCTCCCTCCTCTGTCTCTTTCTCTCTCTCTTTCTTCACTTGGTTGCTGCAGAACAGCTGGGCTGGTTCATTCTATTCGCTTATCACTTTACTTGCACCACAGTCAGACATACAGAAATCTGAGTCCCTGGCTGAGAATCAGGGTTGTACCAATGCAGATTCCCAACAGGCCAGCGCTGCTACCCTGTTCCCAGTCATACCTCTTTCTGAGAGAGGCTGGAGCTGGGAGCTCTCCCACAACTACTGCAGCTCCACCATTCCCTACAGCGACTCCTGCTGGTGACCCTGATTAGCTGGGTGCTCTCCCACAGGCAGTACTAGTGCACCAATGCTTTCAGTGACACCTGCAGGGAGAAGCTGGGACTGAAGGATCTGATCTGGTCACAGGAGGTGGGAGAGTGATGATGGGGAAGCAGGAGAGCAAGCCAAAGGCGGTCAGCGCGTCTAGGTTACGTGGAGCCCGCAGTGGAGGCAGACCAATGTCCCGCACTGGTGGAGAAGACATGACTATGCAGTTAGGTTTATTATGGTCATTTGGACTGGCAATGCCTTTAACCCCTTAGCAGCTAGGAAGGGGAATCTCTCTGCCTGGAATTGACACTGCTCTCTTGCTGGAATGAGAGAACACCAGTTGTCCCAGCTGGTAACACTCCAGCCAGGAGAATGCATTATACCCGGCAACGGAAATGATCAGGGGGCTGGGGCACATGACTGACGAGGGGAGGCTGAGGGAACTGGGCTTATTTAGCAGAAGAGAAGAGTGAGGGGGGATTTGATAGCAGCCTTCAACTACCTGAAGGGGGGTTCCAAAGAGGATGGAGCTCGGCTGTTCTCAGTGGTGGCAGATGACAGAACAAGGAGCAATGGGCTCAAGTTGCAGTGGGGGAGGTCTAGGTTGGATATTAGGAAACACTTTTTCACTAGGAGGGTGGTGAAGCACTGGAATGGGTTACCTAGGGAGGTGGTGGAATCTCCATCCTTAGAGGTTTTTAAGGCCCAGCTTGACAAAGCCTTGGCTGGGATGATTTAGTTGGGGATTGGTCCTGCTTTGAGCAGGGGGTTGGACTAGATGACCTCCTGAGGTCTCTTCCAACCCTAATCTTCTATGTGCAGCACCAGCTCCTGAAAGGGGCCAAGGACTCACTGACTTTAAGGGGGTGTTGACTCTCAGAAGGGGGGGAAGAGTATTGCAGACAGGCAGAAAGGACTAATGGCAGCAGCAAACAGTTCCCACCTGGGGGCAGTGAAATTCTCACTGTGGAACTCAAGGCTGCTGGGTGCCTGGCTGAGGATCAGGCTGTCTGCGCGTGCAACTGACTTTCATCTAGATGAGAAGGTTCTGGGCACAGGGATCTTGTCTTATTTGCCTGTAAAGCACCATATACACCTGTGCCACTGTATGAATAACCACATGAGATGGGGCTCTTTGGATAAGTGCACATAGGTGACAGGTGTGAGGGAAAGTCACCCCGTGCGAGGGCCCAGCACAAAGCCTTTGCATCACTTTAGTCCCACTTAAGGCCTCAAGCTAGGGTTTAAATAGGTGCATAGGCCTCAACCTGGCCCTCTGTCCAGGGTGACTACGTCCTGGTGAGGATGAAAGGTGCACAGCGGCAAGTTACCTGTCTGTGCATGTAAATCTCTGCAATGGTTCTGTCTGTATGTAGCTGACTCCACTAGCTCCTATCACCACAGCTGTTAGGGGATGTCTACGTGTGGAGCTGGGGGTGACATACCCACCCTGGCTCTCTGTGACCTCGCACGCTAACCATTCAAAGCGAATCCTGGGCCACCCAGCATCAGACAAAATACAAACCAGCCCAGTACAACGCCACACCAAAAACAACTGACCCAAATGGTGAACAAGCTCAGTCCGGACCGGAACCCTGGCAGCTGGGGCTTCTGGTGGCTCCCCAAGCTGAAGGCCCAACATGGCTTATACCCATGTCTCTGTTTTAGTTAGTTCATGATTTATAAAACGCTCCCGTCACTGAGGCTCTGGGTGCACGAACAAATCGAACAACAACAATCAACATCGGCTAAAGCGAATTCCTTCCCTCCCCCCCCAGCATGTCTCCTCTCCCCCCCCCCCCCCCCCATCACCACCACGCTCAGGACAATGCCTGTGTGAACAGAGGGGCCTCGCTGGTGCCCTGATGCTGAACAAACGTGGACACTAACATGAGGAGCCAATTCTAGAGCCAAGGACTTCCTGCTTCTGGCTGTGTAGATTTCCAACCTGGGGGCTGTTAGTTGGTCTTGGCTGCCCTAATGGCCTGCAGCCACCCTGCCTCTCCCATATTGCTAGCTGGGAGTGGGGTCTCACTATGGAGAAAGCCAAGAACAACTGCCTTCAAAAAATGTTCAGTGCTGGCGAAAGGTTCTGGACTGGTGGTCCTACGACCTGGAGTCTTCGCCCTTAGTGATGAACAATGGCAATGCTACCGTTCCCCCTCACTGCCTCAGCCCTGACCTGGGGGGACCACCTCCAGGAGCAGGCGCGTAGCTCAGAGTCCATCATCTCTGCCTCGTGAACCTGCCACCTAGTGCCACTGTCAAGATTTTCAAGAGCAGCTCCTGACTTTGGCACCCAACCGGCCATCCCTCCAAGGGACCTGATTCTTCTAGAGGCTCCACTACGGTGTCTCCAGCTGGGCACCCAAAATCACTAGCCAGCTTGGAACCCTGGGCCTGCGGCTGGGAACACTGACCCACTGGGAACTGGCCTGAGACAGCAACTCCTATAACAGACAGCGGCTGGGGGCAACTTCCATTCACTACTGAGCTGGGTTGGATTTGAACTGCTGGTGTAGAGGTAAAGACTCTCTGTCCCATGGAAAAACTCTGCACCCCCATCCCCTGAGCCAAGCATTTCCAGCCCTGCCTCTTTGAATAACTCCACAGGAAGCCCGCTGAAAGAGGCTCGCTCTTCCATAAAGCCAGGCATCTCCCGAGTGAATTCCTGGCACTGCGCGAAGAGCCCTCAGGAATGTGACTAGTTTGCTGGAGGATAAGCAGGGTCTTTGCAGAGGATTTGGAGAGATTTGCACCAACTTTCATGTGACAGCTCCAGAGTGGCTGAAATGCTGCATTTCCCCTATTAAGGCTGAGTGAGGAGCTGGCACACCGGCTGTGTCCCCGAGAGAGCGGACACCCCTCCCATTGCCCAGAGCATGAAACGAAGGCAGCTCCCACTCTGAGGGCTGCTTGTGAGGAGGGAGGGGATGCCCTCTACTGTCTCCCTTTGGTGCGCCCACCTACCAGCCTCAAAGGCCTCTTGTGTCAGCAAAGTTACCCTCCAGCTGCCGAGAGTTTGGCACAGCTCCTCGCATCAGAGATTGGTCTGAACCAAAGCCCTGGATCCAGGCCTGGGTGCATTTGAGGTCATGTTCACACTGTAACCAGAGGGGTGATTGCAGCCCTACCTGAGCTAGCTTTAATCTAGCTAGGGCGGGTATTCACCGCAGTGAAGCTGGAGCGGTATGGGCTTCAGCATGGCCTGTACAAGCCAACCTGGGCCCCTAGATACTTGGGCAGCTAGTCCATGCTAAACGCGGCTGCAGCTTCACTGCAGCTGGTACCTGAGTGAGCCTGGGTGTGTCTACACACGCTGCCATCATACTCCATGCTGCCCAGCCCTACTCCATCTCTGAAGAGGGAATCTACAATGGGCTGAACGTGGGTTGGGAACAGGGGTGACCTGCCGCTCTGGATTCACGTGCAATGGCTCAGGCTCGTCTCTATCCATGAAAAGTCCTGCTGGCAGCCGCAGGGTGCTTATCCCCACTCTCCAGACCCCAAAAGGGAGCAGCAAGACGCTCCCACTGGGGAAACTCAGCCCTACACAGGCGAGGAGGATGGAGCAGTATAAATAGCAAATGAGGTTCCCAAGCCCTGCATGCAATAAGACACCATCCACAGGCTGATACCTCAGCATCTCTCACTCTGATATTAATGCACCTACTGGAGCAAATGGAATAGGAGAAACAACCAACTTCCTGCAGCGCTGATGGATTTCGACAGAACATAAAGATGCTCCATTCTAGGGGCTCTTGAGAGCAGGCTGCACACTCCGCCCTGCTGCTGGATCTGAAACGTGGATGCAGCTGATCTTTAAAGGAGAAGCCAGGCTCCTAAGAGTCCACGCTCGCCCGGTCAGGACAGCAGTGAAAAGACACACAGTAGAAAGGGGAGGGTTTCTTACCTTAACGTATTCACTGCAGGATTCCGGGCCATCAGCGGGACTAGAAGAAACCAAAAGGCGTTAATGACGATCAGAGCGTGACCACAGAAAAACATGGTCAGTGTGCCCCCAGGCAAGTCCTTTGGTCACCCCATGACAGACCATCTTGGGGCTGGCCTCAGGGCTTGGGGAGAATGTCCTGGGCTCACCCTGACTCATCCCCCGTCAGGCCACTTCCTGGGCAATGCTCCAGCAGCAGCTCTGCTTTTGAGCAGCCTAAAGCGTGGTTACAGGGTAATCCCAGCTGGGACTTCCCTCTAGGATGGCTACTTATAGAAGGCGTGCAGAGGGCGGGTTCATGATATAGTACATGCTATATACCGATGGGGCTGTAAGGACAACTGAAAGTCCTAACCGTTGCAGCTACAGGGACTGTGCACGTTTATTCCCTCTGTTCCCTGTAACACTGAAGACCGACAGAGCTGTTCCTGTCTGAGGCCATGTACTGCCTGAAGGAGGAGGGGGAAGCCCTGGGTCACTCAAGGCTACAGGGCTTTTCCCAGTTGGGGGAATGACCTGACTCGGGCAGGCACCAGAAGTCCTTGTTAAACAGCTAAGAGAACAAATGTGTTTTCATGTGATGTTCCCAGAGCCCTGGCATCCCCTCCCGCTGCCCCATCCCTGAGCTCCTGGCGTGGGGCTTAGCGTCCCTAATGCAATAGGAGAAGAATGAGGTCTTTCTTGCAGGATCTCTCCTCAAATCAGCTTGGATGGCGTGAGCCGGGTCAGGCTCCATACGTCTGCTGGGTTCAGTGGGGTCTCTGGAGTTCATGGCAGTTGAGCCAGAACCTTGCGGAGGTGACGCTATTGGGTGGAAACCTTCCAGACCAAGAAGGGCTGGGACTGAGGGGGAGAGGAGCAGGCAAACCAGGTGTGGGGGCTCCCTGTGTTTCCTGGAGGGTGAGGGGGGAATGTTCTTGTAATCACTGATGCCCCCTCTTTACCAGGAGAGGGATGCTCATTTTCCCATTATTCAGGCCTGGATTTCCATCCTGTTCTGGGAACAGTGACTCCCTGTTCCCAGATGGGCTCACACCAGTGTTTCCTGTACACCTTCCTGCCCTGCTCGGGCCCCAGCTGCTTCCAGCCGGAGCACAGGGGAGCTCTGAAGGGCGGAAACGGGTGGGACGGCAGGCCCAGAATAACTCGCAGGATCAGGGGTCAGGAGCCAGACAGATGGTGCCTCCACCCGCCCTAGGAAGGTTGGTCAGGAAACGCGCCCCCCCCCCCCCGCCCCTCTTTCTACACCGTGCCCTGCAAGGATTCAGCCCTACAAGCCAATCTGCTTTCTCAGCTACAGCCTCCTGTTTCTGCTTGGCCTGACGGGACTGCTGGCAGGAGAGGGGCGCAGAGATGGGTATTCACAGGCTCTGTGATGAGCACGCAGCAAGGGCTGGATCCTGCTCCCCTTGACATCAGTGGTACAGGATGAGGCTCTGTGCTGGCTAGAGAGAGAGATAGAATACTCCCTCCTTCCCATCTGTAACTGGACCCTTGAGAGAAGAGTCGCCCTGGGAGGGAGTATTTGCTTAAATACCTAATGAATGAATTAATCAGTGAGCAGGATGGGGACTGAGCCCTGCTGGCTAACACCCCATAATTAACACTTCTTTACTGGCCCCATGTAATCCTGCAGAATTTAAACATTCACTGAAGTTCCTTGCCCTTATGGCTGCAAAAAGAAACCATCCTGGGTGTGACTCAGTGCACTTCTGTCTGGGTGAGGCTGCACTCAGAGAAAAACACCAGCCCCTCCAACACATGAGGAAGTGACCCCCTTGAATCTTAAACCTCCACATTGGTAACGTGTGACAGATTCCCAGATGCTGTAAAGTATCAGGGAGTAGCCGTGTTAGTCTGTATCTACAAAAACAACAAGGAGTCCGGTGGCACCTTAAAGACTAACCGATTTATTTGGGCATAAGCGTTCATGGATAAAAAAACCTCACTTCTTTGTGAGGTGTTTTATACCCACGAAAGCTTACGCCCAAATAAATCGGTTAGTCTTTAAGGTGCCAACAGATGCTGTAGTTATTCTCTTGTAACGGAGGTTTAGGCACGTCACCCCCTACTAAAGTGCTTCCACCTTTGGGGTGTAATGCTACTGTTGTTTAACAGCTCATGGCAACAGCCTACATGCTTAGGCTAAGTGGAGCAGGATGCTGTATCCAGTTGAAACGGCCGGGGTAGTTTAGGGGCATGGAATATGATGACCTGAGCGGGAATTTGGCCAGGACATTGGCGTTAGCACCCCAATTCTTAGCAGCAGGGGCTTAGCACTGTAAAAAATAAAATAAAATCAAAACTTCAGCTTAGTTTCTTACCTAAAAGATGGCACCTCCAGCAACCACTAACATCGTGCTGGAGCACTGGGTAGGTAACAAAGAACACCCCCAATCCCACTTCTAGGGGTCTCTTTAGAGGTCTCCCATCCAAGTCCTGAGCTATTGCAACTGGCCTTAGCTTGTCAGAGCTGTCAGGGTCACAAGGTAACACAGCTGCAAGGCGTGGGACGTGCCATATAAACTCTCTGGCTTGGCCTACGCTTAAAACTTCTCAGCGTAGCTATGGTGGTTGGGGCATGAAAACGCACACTCCTGCCCGATGTAGCTGTGCTGACAGAAGCGTGCTTCTGTCGCTGTAACTAACGGTGTTTGGGGAGGTGGTGGTCCTATGCCCGCCGAAAAACTCCTTCTGCGTCTATAGGGGCGGCTACGTCTGCATGGGCTCTGGAGCGCAGCCATAGCCTGGGACTCGCTGCTGCTTCCAGTTTAATTTTCCTCGGCAAATCGCTGTCCGGCGCCAACTAGTGATCAATTGGGAAACAGCAGTTTATTAAGAATTCCAGCTGGTCAAGGGCAGCAGCCTGACCGCTCTGAAGCGTGTTGCTGGGAGTTACCTTGGAAGGTGGCTATGTGGCCCCCAGGGCATTCTGATACTCTGCTCTACCACTGCCAGTGTTTCTCAGTATGATCCTTGTTGGCTAGAAGTTCTGGGAACAAACAGACTGTTGGTTTTAGCTGCCCATGCGGCAGGGGCAAGGCACGACAGGATCAGTTATCGGAGGTTTAAGGGAGGAGAACAACTCGTTAAGGGCACAGTCCATGCATGACCCTTGCATCTTGACAGGATCCGTGCATGGCCTTTGCATCTTTGCCCGTATGGAGCCACACTTCTGTTAGTCAGTAAAATACAGCTCCAGATCCCCTCCCACCTACAGCAAACCAAGGAGTGATCCGAAAGGCCAGAGTTTTTAATCCCAATCAGACTCACTGAGCCGGGCTCAGGGGGAGCGGCCATTTTAATCTTTAAAAAATAAATGGTGACGCTCTTTGCACCCCAGCAGTGGGAGAGGTCAGCTCCCACTCTTTCTGTAGACGGGACCAGCAACCAGGAGAAGCACTGGGGCATTCCATATTGCAACTTAGCGGTTTAATTTTTAAAGAGTAACATCTTATGAGTGTCGGAACAATAACTCAACCGGGAAAAATCAGCGGTGGAGTCCTGCATTAGGCATCCACAGTGCCAGAGTCTCCCTCTGGGACACCAGGCTCCTTAACTGTATGTGCGGACAGAAAGCAAACACAGACGTGTGCTGTAGAGACACCCCCCACTTGCAATCGGCTGGGAAGTGCCCATTGTAAAAGCTGGCTTTCCAAGCCGAGATCAAGGGGCCAGTTCTAGCCTCTGCCCCTCTGTGCTGCTTTGAAGGTGTACAAGGGGCTGCACGGGAGCTGCAAGGTCTGGGAAGAATTCTATGGGTGCAAAAGCAGCACAGGGCCCTACGCTGCCACCCCGCCCAGGGCCCAGCATAGCAGGTGTGTGCGCCTAGCATGGACCAGTGCAGGGTTCCGGGCTGCGATGCTGCCGTAAGTTAGAGCAGCCCCAGAGCCTGGCATTTTAGCTCCTGCAGCAGCCTAGAATCTAGAGGGCGCTTAAAGCTATTTTCCCCCATCCCACTCCTCCTGGGCTGTTTTTCCACAGGCTGAGAAATGCTTCTTCCCCTTACACCACTACAAACCACATACGTAGTGGGGCCGTCCTGATCCAGCACAGCACACGAGTAACCCCAGTGAAGTCAGTGTCACTACTCACAAGCTTAAATTCAAGCAAGCCCCTAAGCACTTTGCAGTGACCGGAGCTGTATCCTCACAGGCCAGTGGCAAACGGAGCCTGTCATAGCAGACAAACTGCCCATCTTCTGGAGCCGAGAGGGGGAGGCGAACGAGCAGGATTTTTGCTATTTGTTTGCTATCCTGCTCTCTCTCACACCCGTACAAAGGGGGAATCCTTAAAATCAATGGAGTCACACGGGGGGGGGGGGGGGGTCAGGCCCAATATTTTACACTGGTTTGTGAACTTTTAATGGTGTAAATGCTCGAGAGTTCCATTTTCCACGTGCCGTAGGAGCATTCGTGGCGCGTGGAGCGACGGCAGGGAATTGTTAGCGCTTTGTCTATGCTTAGGGCTGGCTCTAACTTTTTTGCCGCCCCGAGCAAAAAAACCCAAAACAAAACAAACGAGCACCGCCCCGCCGAAACAACCCCCACCCCGAGCACCGCCCCGCCGAAACAACCCCCACCCCGAGCGCCATCCCACCGAAACAACACCCCTCCCCGAGCACCATCCCACCGAAACAACCCCCCCCGAGCACCGCCCCACTGAACCAAAAAACAAAACAAAACAAAAAACCCTGAGCGCCGCCTTGCCGAAACAAAATAAAACAAACAAACTGGAGCGCTGCCCCACCAGCCCAAAATTGGCCGCCCCTTAGAAGGTGCCGCCCTAAGCACGTGCTTGGTTGGCTGGTGCCTGGAGCCGGCCCTGTCTATACTGCACCTTTCATTTTGCAGGGAGTCTGCCTCTCTGCAGTGGCTATTTGATGAGGCAGAGATGACGCAGACCGTTAGAGACAAGATTCGCATGTTGCACTCTCTCAGGGAGACTTTAGTTTTGTTTTTCCCTGTATTATTTTCCCTAATCCCTTCAGGCTAAAAGCAAAGGTTTGTTCTTTGTATGTGAGAAACATCTTAGCCAGTCTCCCAACACTACTACTACTAATTAATAAGCTAATCAGAGCCCCTGACTCCAGTGGGAGGTAGGTGAGGATTATTACCCTCTTTTACAGATGGGGGAATGAGTCAGAAGTGAAATGACTTGCCCAAAGCCAGAGAGTCTGGGGCAGAGCCTGTGTTAGCCCGCTGGAGTTCCTGGCTCCCAGACCTATGCTCTTTCCACTAGACCACACTGCCTTGCAGCAGTTGTGACCTATACTTAGGGTCAGGGACCTGCTATTCTGTACTGCAGCTGTTAGGAGATAGTGGACATTCTGCCAGGAATCTCTGCAGCCTGTGAGAGCCAGGCATGGGATCTATGCTATGCGCCAGGGATCCTTGCAGTGCCTGCCTCATCCATATGTTTATCTCCTGGCTCCAGACTACCACAAAGACTGAATTTAATTCATGTTAAACGTTGGGCTGAATATCCACAACAAACCTTCCTGACAGGGAGAGCTACTGGACTGGGGCCCCATCTCCAGGGGGCGTGAAGGACACTCCAGTGCTTGGAATCCAGAGCTAGACTGCACAAAACCCGAGTTGCTGCTCAATAGGACCCCATACTGCACCGACCCCTGGGACACAGGATCTCCTTGACAGGCCGTGATTGAGTGAGGGTTTCCCTACTGACCAGCAGCAGCACCCTAGCAGGTTGTGGGGGACTAGCGCCATCCACTCAGCTGGCCACAGAGCCAGCCTCCGTTCCCAGGCTGGTTTCCCTCGGCAGCTGGAGCAGGAGCGAGCCGTGGATAACGCTCCTGGGAGAAGGCACAGCCGCAAGCAGGAGAGGACGTTTCCCTTCTCGCTGCCAGCCCAGCTGGCATTTTCCAGGTGATTCCAGGATGTCAGGGCAAGGCTGGGCCTGGGCTGGTGGGGTTTCTACAAATCTGCCCCCTCCCTGCACCAGCTGCGAGCTGGCCTCCTGAGGTGCCGGGTCAGAGAGAGACCGGCTGGGGCTTGGGAATCTGTGAGAAAAAACAAAGGGTGGGGGAAGGGAGACTCCAGGCAGGAAATTGGGAGCATGAGAGCAGCTGGGAAGTGGAATTTAGGAGGGTCTTGCAAGCTTCTCCAGTGCTCTGCAAAGCCATCAGGGCCTGTGGCTAATGAACTGCAACACTCACATCCCAGCATCCGGTGCCAGAGAGCCCCCACTTCCACTCAGCGCTGGGGAAGAATGAAACCACTATAAATAACCCCTTCTCCTAACTGTAAGCAGATGCAGTGCCTGCGCCTTGGCCCTGGGAGAGGCAGAGGGACGCTAGCGGCCGCAATATGCAGGGAGCTGTGCGACTGAATGGCCGGAGGATTCTTGAATGAGACTCAAACATTCTTGAAGCCTGTCAGAGCGCCTGGGAGAAATTCCAGCGCTCCCTTTGGAATGAGTCCCTGCGGCCCGGGAGCCCCTTCCAACTGGCCTGAAATGCCTCGCAGGAGGGAGGGGCAGGCTCATTGGCACTGCCCCAACGCTTGCAGGGATGCCAGTCAGTGGAAGGCTGAGGCGTGTTGGCTTTAGCCCCTCAGCATGGCACCGCTGGTTCCGAAATTGATTCATATTTACTTCCAACGGCTCCCACTTCAGCTCCTGGCTTTTCACCACGTCCAGGTGCTCCAGCTACAAGCCGCTCCTTGCCTCACCTGCATTTCACAGCCAAAGAGTATTCTTAACATTGTGTGTTCCTCTTCTGCTCTGCGGCATGCTCCAATGGACAGGGCATTGGCCTGGAACGCGGGAGACTCTGCCACTGGCTGGCTGGGTGACCTTGGCCAAGTCACTTTACTATTGAGTGCCTCGGTTTCCCCATCTATGAAAATGGAATAACGCTCATTGCCTCCTTTATAATGCACTTTCAGATCCATTGATGAAAAGTGCTATGTATTTGTACCAGGGATTTTGCATTGCAATACAGCTTCTGCAGGGGGCTAGCTAACTGTGTGCTATCACTTTCCTCTGGGAAGCACCGTTTTCACTAGCCTTGTGCATATCCACTCTTCTCAGAAAAGTCAAGTCCCTTTCTTCCAGTAACCTCCTTTTTTGCTGCTCGTCAATTGCACCATGAATAATTCGGTGTCTCATTCGTCCATCTGGTCACAGTTCACATTCAGGGTGTTGTTACATGTGTCTGGTAACACACCAGGCAATGGTCTCAGCTGGTTTCTTGTAAAGAAAACATGCTCGCCCGAGTCACAGTCACGCCTGGATCAGTCTTCAGGGAATTTCTGAAAGGCTTTGCCTAGCCCTTTGCAGTCCCCTTCGTGCTCCCATAGGAATGGATCGTGGCTCTGCAGTGCCACAGGTAGCAGCCCGGAGGATTTCACCCTCTGACTCCTCTTTCAGTACCACTTGCTCCAAGAAGAAGGTGGACTCACGGCAGTCACTCCTCCAGTTCAGGAAGCTGCACTTGCTCCATTCGTGTGAACGCTTCAGCTTCCCACCGCGTACTAAAGCAGGGCCCACAAGCATGCTGGGGAGAGCCTGAACTTTTCTGGACCCACTCACCTGACAATGGTCAGAGTTACAAAGATTAAAAGCCCCTGACATGTGACAGGAACCACTGACTCGGGTGGCTACTGTTACAGGACATGCCCCTGAGGACTATCTATGTGAAGAGGTGTGTATAAATGTTGTTTATATAGGCTCAGCTAGGAAGGGTCAATTCCACCGTTGTAGGATAATACACCAGGGGGAAATGCTGGTCCACATTTCTTTAGGTGGATTATTCCCAGATGGTGTCTTGCCCCTGGTGCAAGAGGAGTGAAGGTGATCCACGTAGGATGGAGAATTTTCCTGATCAGCAGCCTTCCTGGGCTTCCTTCCAGTGGGAATGCTTCAAGGTGAGCTCCGGAACCCAGCATGACTGATAAATCCTCGGCTGCAGCCTCAGTGTAATGGGAGCAGAAATGGATCCAAAATATAGAGCTGCCCCATGTCACATGGGTACTTGAGGGTGACACTCGGGAAGTAGGACCTTTGGGCCTATGGGCTCAAAGGAGAGCATCACCATTCCTAGCTATGGAACTACAGGAGTACCTGTCTGGAAACTGCACTCCACTTGGCACACCTGCTTAACGCACCAACCTTTCTCCTCTGCTCTGATCCCAGGTTACACAAGAGCGATGGTCGCAGCCTAATGCTTGGTGAACATTTGTCCCCACTGCAGAACTATGCCACAGTTTGACACCACTCGGGGGGGGGACCAGGATCAGAACAGCAGGGGCTGCTGCAGGGCAGGATGGAGGTGCACTAGCAGAGCAGGGCATGGCCCCCGAGAGGAACAGCAGGAGGCGCCGTAGGTCAAGATTAGGGTCCAATGCTAAAGCTAGGCGCGATCACGCCTGCACTAACAAGGGGTGTGGCAGTATGAAGCTCTAGTGGCAGCGCTGCGGGTGGGTAGTGGGTACGGTCCCTTCCTGCACTGTCCACCGTAGCTTGTATCCTGGAGCTTAGATGCTGCAGTGAGCTCAGATCAGTGCATTAAATCATGGACTATCTGGTGCAATCCTCAGGCACAACGGGGTGAGTTACAGCTGGAGAGTTCACCTTACAGCTGAGCTCCTAGTTAGCATCAGCCAGCACGGGGAAAGGTGCCTTTGGTATCCAGGGCAGGGACAGCCCGTCACAGCCAGGTATCCCTGGCCTCCTCTCCCCTTCACTGGGGAAGTGAGACATTCCAAAAAGACCGGGGGGGGGGGGGAGCAGCTCCGGCTGCAGTTGTCTATGGAATATCTTCCTCTGCGTCCTCACCCAGGGCCCAGCTGCAGCACGCGCCAGTGGCCTTGTGGATAACATCGGGGCTTTGTGCGCTCATGGGAGGCACTCAGGAGTCTGGTGTTTCCATGACCTGCCCATGCCCAGCTCAGGAGAGAGCGAGATGCTCCCACCCGCCCAACATCCTGCTCTCCCGTATTCCCCAGCAACCCAGGGAACCCAGCAGCTTCCCCTGTCAGACTGGCTCACCCCTCTCCCTGCCCTGGCAATGGGCTCTAGTGGCATGAGCCGCTGAGAGACAAGAATTCCTGCCTCATACCAGCGCTGCCGCCACCTTACCTAGGATGCTGGGCAGAGTCATTGAAATTGTGACGTGCCTCAGTTTCCCCAGGAAACTGGGACCAGTCATACCTGCAGGGCTGGCCAGCACTAACCAGCTCGGCCCGGATCCTGCTCCTGTTTAAGTTAAAGCGACTTTTGCCTTTAATGTCAAAGGGACCCCACTGGGCCGCATCCTGGCCATGTCAGTGGCTAGTGCTGGGGAATTCTCCTTTCCGCCTGCTCGGATCCATTCCTAGCCCAAATCCCCGGGCTAGCAGCCTCTGCTCCCGGCTGTGCAGGTCCATGCAGCCCCTGCCCTGCCTCCTTGGCTGGGCCAGGGCCACAGCAAACCCCGGCAGGCGAAGGGAGGGGGCTGCAGCCGGAAAGGGCTCAAGTTCCCCCTTCTGGCTGGCCGCCCTAGGGAGTGACGGGGGTGGGGGTGACTGCAGGGCAACCCCCACCCCACTCAGCTCCACACGGGGCTCTGGGCAGGGAGCCGGGCAGGGGTTGGTGCCAGGGTGACCTCACCCCAGGCCAGCGCCCCACAGCCCGGCCCGCCGGGGGCTGCCCTCCTGCCTGCGCTTTCCCCCCCCCCACGGGTTTGCGCTTCCCACGAGCGAACCTGCTGCCCCGTGGGGTGGGGACAGGCAGGGCCCCCGCAGCAGCCCGGGCCGGGCCCCTCTCAGGACGGACCCCCAGCCCCGCTTTGCGCTGTGGTTTGCAGCCCCCTCCTCCGCCCCTGCCCACGGGACACGCTCACCTGCCATGGCCCAGCCCGTGGGGCCTCCTGCCCACCTCGGTCATCGGTGCCGGCTGCCTGCGCTCCGAGCCCGCCAGCCGGAGAGGAAGTTTGAGCGCTGCCCCGTGCGAGCGCTGAACTTGGGGAGGGCTGAGCCGGCCCAGGCCCGCCCCGCTGCCTCTGGCCCTGCCTCCCTCCATCCCTCCCCTCGCCCGGCTCCCACAGGCTGGGAGAAATTCCTCCCCATTCCCATGCTCCTGGCAGGCCCGGCAGCCCCTTCCCTACCGCACACCGCCTGAGCAAACAAACCCCAGAGCCCTGGGAACGGGACCGGCCCCGGCAGGGGGGCAGGCAGGCGTCTGGGCCAAGCTCCCTGGGAATCTGGAGTGACTCCGCTGGCGCCGCACTGGTGTCACACCGGCACAACAGAATCAGGCCTGGCTCAAGCAGGAGAAGCAATGGGCCGGAGAAGGAGCTGGTGTAAACTGGTGTCTCTCCACTGACTTGACACCAGGGAGCCTGGGACATCAGCTGCTTCCAGATCCTGTGGGGACAGGCGGGCGGCAGTACAAACCCCTCCGACTGGGCCGGAGCTCAGAACCCTCTGAACAAGCAAACCCAGTTCCAGGGAGACGGCTGCTGAGTTAGAGACAAGCAATGGGGCTGAATCCCCTAAACCAAGGCCAGTGCCCCTCGTGTCACGCCCACACAGGCCTCCCTCGCACCCGACTCGGGTGGCATCTCGCTCTGCCGTCGACAGGGGAGCGCTGAGCGGCGGCACTGGGAGGGTGGTATTGATGCTAAAGAGATGGATCCTGCGTGGCGCTGGGACCTCCTGCTGCGGTTGGGGTGGGTTGTGTTCTCCCCCGCAAGCTGTGCCCTATGGCTGGGCTTCAGGGAGTTGCGGGGCAGGGGAGCAGCCAGAGCCCAGCAAGTCCAGTTCCCAGGGAGAAGGGTTCTGGCTCACACCCGCAGGCTGTGGTTGTAGAGCCCAGCACTTCAGTGCAGGCGTGTGTGTTAGGATGACCAGACAGCAAGGGTGAAATATCGGGACGGGGGTGGGGGGTAATAGAAGCCTATATAAGAAAAAGACCCAAAAATCGGGACTGTCCCTATAAAATCGGGACATATGGTCACCCTAGCGTGTTCACGGGCATGTGCGTTCACAGGCGTGTGTAGTGGGATCAGATGGCCTCAGTGCAGCCAGCCCTCAAAGTGGAGAAGACAAGGCATAGTGCAGCTCTCATTGGAAGGTCACTTCTTTGGGCTGAGTTAAAGGTGAGGGAGGCTTCCCAGGCAGGGGCTGAAATTGGGGAGGGCAGGGGGTTGCTGTCCTTTAGGGCTTTGGGGGCCAGGCTGACAAGATCCTACAGTCATCACAAAAGCAGGGCGGGCGCCAGCCAGTGCCAGCTGTAACTCCCAGCAGCCGCCCACCCGGCCCAGCTCATCCCCTCCCCGCATTCCAAGCACGTTCCCAAGCAGAGGCCTCCTTTACAGATTCCACATGTGCTCTAGCAGTCCTGGTGGAGCCGAGAGGCACTGGGGTGAGGCCCAGGGGCAGCGCTGTCCTCTGGGAGTCACAGGCCTCTGGGGTCCGAGAAACCCCGCAACAGCTGCAAGTGCCTTCCCCCGAGCTGGTCAAGCTGGTCGGCTGAACCAGAGACGGGGTACTTATGAAAGTGACACTCCCCTCCCAGGAGGAGAGTGAGAGAGAAAGGAAAGAGAAAAGGATAGTGCTATGCAATGGAGCTCTCCAAATCCCGCTCCCCCATTCCAACTCTGCTCCCAGACCCAGCGCCCCCAACTCCTGGTGTATTTCTCTAGTGGATCAAACCGACAAAGCCACGACTTGAAACTAAACTGAGAACAAGGCAACGGGAAGTCTGGGCTAAACCAGGCTGCCTGAGACGTTTCCGTCCCGACCGGAAGCAGGAAAGACCAGAAATCCCACGGGAAGCTTGTTCTCATGAAGCCGCCAGCCCCAGGCGGCGGATGCGAAAGGTTAAGCAGCCCCACTTTCCCAGGTGTTTGTGTAAGGGAGTGTTGCCTAGGGACTAGCACCCAGGACTGGGCGACCAGCCTCCTGGGTTCTAGGCTAGCTGTGTGACCTGGGGCAAGTCACTTTGCCTCTTTGTGGCTCAGGTTCCCTTGTTGGTAAAATGAGGATAATACCCCCCTGTCCCCTGCAGGGGGTGTGGAAAATAGCTGGCAAGCGCTGGGCGGGCAGAATACAGCGTTATTATTACCTCCGGAGAAAATCCATCACTAAATACAAAGGAAGTTGACCCGAGGGGATGCCTCGGAGGGGCTCGATCCTGCAAGGTGCTGAGCACTCTGGCCCTAATCCAGCCAAGCACTTCAGCGTGCACTCGATTTTGAGCATGTGCTTAGTCCAGGACCATTCAGGGGCTTAAATGCTTGGCTGGGTTGGGGCCAGAGTCCTCGGCACCCTGCAGGCTTGAACCCTCATTCAGCAGCAGAACAAGGGTGCACTGGAGTAGCTGAGCACGCTCACGCTGTGTCTTACCTCCGTTGCGGGCTCTCCCAGGAGGCAGGCGGCAGCTCCTCCTTCGCTCCTTCTTTTCCCTCCAACAGGACGGGCTCTTGCAACAGCTCTGCTTTGGTACAACCAGTTCTAGGAGCTTGGCTAGCCTCCTGGGCTGGGCTGGCAGCGTGTCCCTCTCCCACGCCCCCAGGTGCCTGCCCAGGAGGAGGGTCGTTCCCCGAGGCGTCAGATCCCACCCTCGGCTCTGTTGTGATGGACTCCCCCAGGCTGGGGCCGTTATTTGATGGCAAAGTCCCCGAGGAAGCATCTGCTGCTGGGGCAGGGTCAGCGGGCGCCACTGACTCTGGGATGGCCGGTGGGGACGTGCCAGGGGCTCTGCCACCTGTGGTCCCTCTGGCATGGGAGCTTTGGGAGCTCTTGGTCCTTTTCCCTGCCCCGCTGGGGGTGGTCCTGGGCATCGTCCCCATGTGGCTGTACATGTCGCACGACCTGGCGTAGGGGGATGGGCTCTTGGGCATGGTGTTCAAGTCATCCTGAGTGCTCTCCAGGGTGTCCTCCAGGAAGCTGTTGGGATGCAGGGTCCCCGCCCGCAGGCTCTCCGTGGGGCTGGCGGGGGCGGACACTCGCCGGAGGGTGAAGGCTCGAGGGATGTTGCTCAGGCTCCCGAAGCCTTTGAACTTAAAGAACTCTGGAAAGGAAAAGGAATTGTGAGCTGGGGTTACTCCTGGCCCGGGGTGGGGTGGCGGCGGGTGACAGGGGCTTGGCATGGGATTGAGAGGGTGCTGAAGGCCGTCTCTGCAGTGGGGTTCTGCCCTCTGGTGTGGGTGTAGCTCAATGGAGTTGCACCCTGAGAGAGAAGAGTCAGACCCAGCCAGCCCGACACCCCTCTGGCCTGCACCTTGGGTTGTCAGTGAGGTAGCATGGCCTAATGGCTAGATCACTGGACTAGGGCTCAGGAGCTCGGCTCAGTTCCTGAGTCTGCCACTTTGCTGAGCCGAGGCTTCGGATCTGGGCATCATTTCACTGATGGAGAAAGGGAGGCACAAGGCGATGACGTGACTGTGCCTAGAACAGCCTCTCGCGCCCGCTGGCAGAACCCGATGCTTTTCAGCCCTCCTCTTGTTGCCTTTCTCAGCGAGGTTTCTTTCCCCCCCTCCCCTCCCCCGGTGAGAACAGTTGTGGGTCCCAGGGCTGCTCGGCACAGTGGTTTTGCGTGTGCTCTGCACAGTGTGTCATAATCCAGAGCTTTAAGGGGCTGTTCAGCTCAGAGTCTGTGCACATTAGTTAAACCGGAGTCCGTGGGGAGGGGGGAACGCAGCCTGTGAGCGGACGCATCTTCTGTGGGAGGGGCTGGACATGCTCCAGCAGGGACGTCATGGGTGTCAATTGCAGAGTGCTGGCACTCACCCCCACCTCGTATTCCATCAGGCCCCAATCCTGCCCTCAATGACATCGGGGCAGCACCGCCCCACATCAGTGGCATAAAACCTGTGTCACTGGGGGCGGGATTGGGGCCCTACTAAGGGCCTGATTCTCCTCTGCCTTGCACCCTGTCTCATCGACATGCCCATACTCAGTAGGTGCCTGGGATCAGGTATACCAACCCCACAGTGGCCACCACTACCACCTGTGAACTCCATTTAGGGCCATAACCCAACGAGCCCTCTCTGCTGGACGAGAGCCTTAGCCCAGTTTTGGGATAAATGATTTGTAATTCCCTTGTTTCTGTTTGTTGGCTGCCCTGGACAGGGAGAGACTTTAACGTGACCTGGCCAGAGGGCCAAGTCACAGGAAGAGGCAGACTACTCCAGTGTTGGTGCGACCGTCGGCAGGAGGTGCCCGACAGGGAGAGAGCTGCTACACCACGCTTGGCCGCAAGGAGGCACTAGTGGTGAGTCAACCCCTTCACGGTGTGAAATGTAATAGCTCTAATTTGGCAGCATTTTACACCCAGTTTGCATTTCAGTCACCCTGCACCTAAGAGACTATTTCAGTCAGAGAGTGACTCAGCCTTGTGATATGCTCAGCTTCCACATAGAACAGCACCACATTTCTCCAAGATCTAGCTGCCCATACATTCAGCCAGGCAGAACCTGAAACGCTCTCTGTAATATCCGGTCACTCCTGATGATATAATACCCAGGGGTATGTAGGTATGTGGCAGCAGGTGTCCATGAGTGTGTCTATATTTCTGAAGGGGGGAGGGGAGTGTATGTGTGTCTGTCTTTGGTACATGGTGCACCATGATTGCGTATATCAGCGCGAGCGAGATGGTGTAGCTGTGTGTGTGTGTGTGACAGCGTGTGCGTATGTCAGTGTGTGGGGGACCCTGTGCCTGTGTGTGTATGAGCATGAGTGTATGTTAATGTGGGTGGGACCATGTGACCGTGAGTGTGTATGTCGGTATGTGTGAGGCCGGGTTGCTGTGAGTGTGTATGTGGGTACATGTGGGGTTGGTTTGCTGTGTGCATTGGACCATGTGACCGTGAGTGTGTATGTCAGTACGTGTGAGGCCGGGTTGCTGTGTGGATGGGACCATGTGACCGTGAGTGTGTCTGTCGGTACGTGAGGGGCCGGGTTGCTGTG